CATTTAAATTTAAATAAACAACTTGTAATCTTTCCCCCTTGGCCGTATCCCACTCTGTAAATAAGGAGGCCATTCCATTCATTCCCTTCATTCCCTTCATTCTACTATCTCACTCATCACTTCTCTTCTCTTTTTAAATTTTAGTTTTTTAGTTCTTTATTTTTTTAGTTGAATTATTGGTTTAGGTGATAGATTTGCCAATAATAAAATTTTGTTCTTTAAATTCTTTTGCAGTCAAGAAGTATTTCATTCAAAAATCTCTTTTCTTATTTTTATTTTCTTTAATTTTTACACAAGCAAGTTTCATTTTCAAGATCCAAGTTTTCTTTATTTTCTTTACAAGATTCACCCTACTTTTTTTTTGTGTTCTTTAATTTATTTCATGCAATCTTTATTTCTTTACAAGTAATTCGACATTCTCTAAAACTTCTTGTTTGCAATCTCTAATTCTTTTACTTTGTAATTTTTTAATTCTTGCTTTATGGTTAGTTGTTGGCATTAGTCTTTTACTTCCCAAATGACAGTTAGTAAAGTTAATAACCTTGGCTATATGTAGCCTTTAATCTTTACTTGATCCCTGTAATCTTAAAACCTTAAATTTTTATTTATTTAGAAATAAGATTTTAGCCTTTCACCTTTGGTAATTATGAGCAACTCAACATTACAATCTATAATCTATTGAGAAATGATACTGGAATACTTTTATTTTATTACTTAGTCTATACACTTGCAGGTTCTATATAAAAAGTAGCAATCAGTAGCATTAATTGATTCAACGGCATTAGTTGCTATTTCGACTATTTGACCTGTTACTTTATCAGATCTGAAAATCACTTTAAAATCATCAAAAAAAAATTTATTCCTTAACCCTTTAGCATGTGGATGAATTTACACAAAAGTTAAAGTAAATACGAATCAAATAAAAGGAATAGAAAAAAAATAAGTAAGTTAAGCGATAGTTTAATCTTAAACAACTTACCCAAACCCATCCATCAAAATTTTTTTCTCAATTGTGATATATTTATCTTGATCATTTTACCCAAATTCACTTGTATTTTTTATATCACAAATAGCAAGATATTTTCTTTTGAGTAGCTTAACCTTTGATTCGATGTGTGGGGTGGCTTTAAGTTAGGATATGGGAATGAGTTGTTTTAGCATATGTTCAAGATACCCTAGATATCCAATGCATAATGTTTCATTATCCGCTATCTACTAAAATCATCTGTCAAAACATGTAGGCATTGAACCAGAAATAAAATCCACTTTCCTTGTCTAAGAATGGTTACATACCTTTGAGCTTTTTGTTCTTCTTTGAGGTTGGCCACATACAGATTGAGAAAGATTAGCATGAAATGAAGACATGTTGATTTCCTAATCACATGGTTAGACATCATGTAATAATAATAATATAGTAAATAAAAAACCAAAAAAGAATAAAATGTTTGTATTAAAGCATGAAGTAAACCAAAAGACATGAAAAGAAAACAAAAATTATTATAACAATTGTCACATACATTAGACATTGAACAAAAAAATAAATATCAGATAAACATATATTCGACAAAAGTATAAATCAAATTGTAAACTCAATCATATGGTACATAAATCAATTAAAATGAGTAAACATTATAAGAAAAAAAATCTATAATGTGTTTATCTTCGGGATTACAACTAATAGGCGAACATCTCATGTGCCAAATGTCTCTAAACTAAGTCTAAGAATTAAATAGCTTCACATGCGTAATCAAATCTTGATGTTCAGATCCATCTGGTTGGCTAGTACTTTTTTTAGTAGTATCACCTTTAAGAGGGTCATTTACCATCTCAGACCTAATAAAATTATAGAGAAGACAACAAGCAAAAATGACTCTACATTGTGTCTTTATTGAAAAATGACTTTCCCTTAAAATTGCCCATCTACCTTTCAATATACCAAAATATCTCTCGGTACAATTTCTTACTTGAAAGTGTTTCATATTAAAGTGTTCCTACAAAGTTGTCAATTGGAGTCCTGTCATTCAATCATTAATATGGTATCTTTAACCTCTATAAGGTGCCAAAATTTTTTTTCTATTTATGTATTCGGCATCGCATAAATAGTGATTACCTATTATAGTGAAACAACATTAATACACCAAAAAGAGGTGTTTCATTATAAACTAAACCAAAATATTAAAGCTAACACCTTGTAGGATCCTCAGACCATTCCTACGTGTAATGGAATCTTTTAGTGCTCTGCCATCTGCTATAGAATCTTCCTATCCTGGTAGAACATATATGAATTACTTATCTATGATGCAAGCACCAAGGACATTAGTAGCAATTTTATTTTTCCTTGTATCTAGGCTTGTCAACTGTATGTACATTGACTTTGATGTATGTCTTATATAAGGCATCCAAACAACCTTTGAACCATTTTCATCTATTATATGTTAAATTCTCCAATATCGTTTTGGGTTTTTTAAATAACAGCATATAGGATTTCAAAATAGAATTCAACATAGAATGTAATTGTCTATTAATTGTCTCTCCAAATCTAGCTACCAAATGTTTCATAACCCTATTTTTTATATGATGGGCAATGATGTGGTAGAAGCTAATAACCAGTTTTTCTGTTAACATATGTCTAAATGCTTATAATCTTCTTTTTATTCGAAGCAAATGACATAATTTTGTAAAAACTATCTTATCCATTCTAACATTATCTACACCATCTATCGTTCTAAAAAATCATTGCATTTAAATTTAACTCTTTAATATGTAGCTTATCATAAGATGTTCCACCATAAGATACTTTACATTGTTTTCTAAGGTTTATTGTAATTAAAGTTATAGCAACAATAACTAACACATATAACAAAATCTTTATCTAGTTCAAATGCAAGATAAGCATTGCAACCAATTGCATCTTCTTTTTTAATGATAAACGATCCATAACTGTTTAGAAGACATAATTTCATTAATATTGAAATATAATTGGAAAGTAAATCTTTGTATATAGTAGATGGCATCTATCAAACATCCAAAAATAAAATATAAACTAACAACAAAATATTTATGGATGAAAGAGTTAAAACCAAAATTAATAACATATTTGATCATCAACATATTTTCAATCAAGATCTAAACAAAGTATAAAAAATGAAAAAAAAAAAGAGAAAATGTTTGAATGCAATAAATAATGCAGAACAAATAGTTAGGTAACAAATAGTAGACATATAGTTTATCGAAAAAACCACAGATAAACTTAACAAGATGAAGATTAAATGATAGATGTTGAAGCTAAAATTGGTTGAAATAGAAAAGTATTTGTTTTGAGCCATGCTATTTTGAAATAGAAATCAAAAGTGGTCTTGGTTATTGAAACATGATAAATATATCAATTATGGCATTTTATATGTAGAAATGTTGTAATTGATGTATTAACAAAAATGTCATTTTGAATTTGATTAGATATTACAATGTTTATAATATCAAAAACATGATTTTCAAGAATTTAAATTTTTTTTTAATATGTGGCTATTATGGTGTTTTAACGAAGAAACACCGTAATTAAGTTAAACAATTATAGTGTTTCTTCATTAAAATGCTACAACAGCCACATTTTATATATGTTTCATAACCTAAATATGGTGTATGTTTAAGAAAAATGCCATAAAAAAGTTAATTACAGTGCTTCATTCAAAATAAACACTGTAATTGACTTAAAATAAAATTTAATTTCAATTCTAGACTTGATTTAAAAAAAAAAAAAAACATAGATAGAATATATTTTTTTATTTAAGTCAAATTTGGAACTCAATCAACTTTTCACTTGAAATCTTAAAATATTACAAGAAGATATGGGTTTCTAATTTCAAAACTTTGGATATTGATGGAAATTTGACATTTTCTCGAGGAATTGGATAACTCTGAACCAAACGTGAGAATCAAATACTCACTATCAAGATTTCATGAAAGAGTTTTTGAATTTTCCTAAACCAAATGTACTTTTACAAAAACTAATTACTCTATCATCAACCAATAAAAAATAGATATGTATATAAATATTATACATGTGACTATCGCATGACTACCATGTGTTATATATGTTTAAAAATTAAATATTAAAAATTTCTAAATATTAAAAAATAATTTTTTTAAAAAAATTCATAATTAAAATATTTTTAAAATCTAAATTTAAAAAAATAAAATATGATTTTTTTAGAAATATAATTTTTTTTAAAAAATAAAATTTATAAAAATTTAAAATTTAGTATAAAAAAAGGAAAAAAGAGTAAGGAAAGAGAGATGAAAATGAGGGATGGGAAAAGGAAGGAGCAGACCAAGGTTACTTTATGGACGTTTGGATGCAACTGCACCTCTAATGAGGTGCAGTTAAGCTCAAATCACCATTAGTTAAATTCAAATACTAATTTCAGTGAAATCCATTGAGTATATATTTTTCATTAAATTTTTTTTCAGTTACAATAATTTTTTTCGATCACAGTTTATATTAACTTTTATTACTTTTTTTAATGTCATCTAAACTAATCTCAATGTCCATCTAAATGGATCTTTTATCGATTAGAGGTTGATTGGCCTTGATTCATCTCAAAGCTTTGGCATTGATATTTTTTACTTTTTTTCTTACATTTCTTACATTATCTATTATGATTACCTTATATTTTTATTTTATTTTTAAAGTTTTCCGAATTTATTTTTTTAAATATTCATATTTCTTTTAGTTATTTATTCAATTTTGGGTTTTAAAAATAAAATTACAACTTAATTAAAACGATTAGGTATTGATTTTTAAAAGCAAAATAAAGAAAAATAACAAAAGCATAAGGGGTGTTAGAGACAGGCCAATGGCCCAATACAGGAATTAAATAGGGCCCAGAAAATTAATCCAATAGAAAGGCCGAGGGGATGTTCCCGCTCGGTTTTTGAATGACCACCCTCCCTCTCCCCCCCCCCTCCACAACAACAACCATAAGTGCCTAAAAATTAAAAATGAAACAAAAAGGCAAAAAATATTGACAAAATTTCAACATCAAATTTCAGGAAATTAAGGAAAAAAACAGTGGAAATGCAGAGACTAATTAGGGTTAGGGTTTCAAAGCATGGATTCTCCTGAACCTTCTAAATCCCCAATTTCCTCTTCTTCTGCTGCAGCCTCTACTTTTTCTTCTTCCCCAGTTCAAGTAATTTCTTTTTGCCTTTTTTTTACTCTCTCTCTCTCTCTCTCTCTCTCTCTCTATTTTTTCACTTAACAGATGTAACTTGATCTTTTCACCCTTTTTTTGCCTTTGATTTTAGATGGTATTTTTATGAAATTGCTGCTTGCTACTTTTGCTTTTTAGTCTCAGGCTTAGATTTTTATTTTGGGAGGTTTGTTAGAGAATGTGGTTAAAGGTTGGGGGTCTTGGTGCAATGTGTGGTTACCTGCCATTTTAATTCTGTAGCTAGAGTTGTGATATGAAGAGGGTTTGACTAGAATTCCATTAATTTAATGGGTTTACTTATCTAGTAATTGGTCAAAGTTTTTATTTTTTTAGAGGAATTGGGAGGTTGCTTTCAATGAAGTGGTAAAACTCTAAACTTTGTATAAGGATGTATTTCTTTTTTAAAATTGGATGGTGGCTTGAATTTGAAGTAGATTTGACATTATCTTTTATTGATGCCATTCTGTCACTGGAGGCGTCTGGAAAACAAAAAGTTTCTTTGATGAGTAACTGCTGCTTTAACGGTTTTACTTATTGCGGTTCTAGATTTTGCACAAGGTGATAGTATTGTGTTTCATTTAGTTTGGATCCATTATTTGTTTAGTTATATGCTGATTTTGCTTACTGAGAAAGGAGAATGGTTTGAATGCAATTATTATGTGCTTTATGTTATGGATAACAACTCTAGACTTAATTTTGGTTGAGTCCCATTACTTTGCAAATAACTTCAGATTATGTTTAAGTTCCATTACTTTGCAATTGCACCTTACTTTCCCTTTTTCTCCCATTTTCTACCAAGATAACTGCATAGCCTTTATGAGTGGATGTCATTTCCCTTTATCATGAACTTTAGACTTCTTTTTTTTCATTTTTCACTTTGATTTCAGGAATCCCCTTTTTCCAATTACATTAGCAGTCTGTCTCCTATAAAGCATGACAAGGCACCGCACGTAGCACAAGGGTTCCTGGGACTTAATTCCCCCCCTCTTGTATTTACATCTCCATGCATATATACACGTAGAAGGTTTGTCATCCCTTGGATTTTGGCTTTATTGTTTTCCATGTGAATTCTTCTTGCTTGAACTCTGATTGCATGAAACCTTATTTCCAGGCTTCAGTCATCCAGCCTGGTGGTATCTCAAAGTGGTGAAGGGGACAATAAGAAAACCTATGAGCCTGGTAGTTTGGAAAGATCTGTTACTGAATTGCAACAAGGGTTGATCACTGATATTAAGGAGGTTGATACCAAGGACTCTGTGTCAGTCCAACCCAGTAGTTCCTCTGGATGTGTTGATGAATTCTTGGCCGATCCTGTGGAAGCAGACTGTGCAAACTCTGCATATTCAGTCAGTTCAAATTTGAAACAATCTAATAATGTGCTTCAATCATCAGTAAATGGTTTGCTAGATTCAAAGAATTTAAAATTTGGCGACGAAAATGATGTGGGGAGGGAAGTTGATGCCGCTCAATTGTTGTCTGGGCAGAGTGAAGAAGGCCTTGAAAGAAAGTTAACCTTTGATGACAAGCCATTGAAGATTGAAAATAAGCAACAAGGTGGTCAGGGGATATCTGATGAAGGCCAAAAGTTTGAGTCTGATGCATTTGTTCTTTCTTCCGAGGAAAAAGAATGTAAAAACTTGGGTCGTCAGGTAATGATTGATTTTTGTCTTCCTACATCTCGTTGGGAAATAGCACCATGCATATTAGGAGATAAGAAATGCATGTTTCTGCCTTTTTTTTTGGCAGAAAGTAGTAGAGGACCATGGGGATGGACGCTTTGGATTCCTTCCATTGCTGCCTGAATCATTGCAAAGGGTTCAGGCATATGGAGATTTTGCTGAAAATGTTGACAGAGAGGCAGATGTTCTAGTTCATAGCATGACAGATGATCTTGAGGTAAAAAAAGATTTGAAGTAGCTCTGATGTAGAGATATCAAAATTAGCTTAGTGGATTCATATTGCTCTTTAATTTTTATTTTCTTTCTCATTTTGGTTATTAAATGCTGCTAGGATTTTCCTTTTGCAAAAGAATAATTTCAACAGTCAATGTAGGCTAGTGAACACCAACATGGCATGAGTAGGCGTTGCCTTCAATTTGGAGAAGCTCAACCAGAATCTACAGCAAACTGCAGCAGTTCTTCAAATATAGAAAATAATGTGATGACTTCAACATCACTTGCTAAAACTTCAGAAACAGAGGGTTTGGGTCCATCTCGTGTAGATTTAAATGCTACATCAAGAAAGAGGCAACTGGTTAACTTGTCCCATTTAGCAATAAACATGATTCCCCAGTGCTATGGTGAGAAGTCTTCGTTAACTGTTTCCAAGCTGTCAGGTATTGGCTTACACCTAAACAGCATTGTTAATGTGTTACCAATGGGTAGAGGTGGAACTGCAAGCATGAAATTGGCAGTGGATTGTATGCGTATAGAGGGGATAAAATCAATGTCCATTCCGAGTTGTCAGTCAGCAGAAAACATGAAGAGTTGCTCAGATGCATTTGACAAAGTATCAGTTGCTTCTCTGGATGGAACACTCGAAGCGCAGGTTTGCACGATTGCAGGTTCTGCTGCTTCTGAATCACTCTGCACCATGGAATCAATTGAGTGTCACACGACTCTAAACACAAAGAGAAAGCTTTGCTCAGAGGATAAAGATAGCAATGAGGTGTTTAACCAACAAAGCCCCAAAAGGAAAAGGCAAGTTTTATGATACTTATTGCAGATTTGACTGTTATAACTTTCTCTATATGATCAAGACCATTAATAGTTTATGCTTCTATAGGAAGAAATTATCAAACAGCACAGATGGTGACGGTTGCAAGCGTTGCAATTGCAAGAAGACAAAGTGCTTGAAACTGTAGGTGAATTCTGTTTTTACTTGGTTGAAGTAACATATCTGTTTTGGTACAATATATGCTAATTTTCTCCTTTATTTCTTTGCAGCTATTGTGATTGTTTTGCTGCTGGAATCTATTGTGCTGAACCTTGTTCCTGCCTAGGTTGCTTCAACAGACCCGAGTATGAAGATACAGTTCTTGAAACACGTCAACAGATTGAATCACATAATCCGCTAGCATTTGCTCCCAAGATCGTACAGCCATTCACTGAGTTGCCGGTAAACATTAGGGCATAATAAAACTCCTCAGCCCAAACACAGAGAAACAACTTTTACTTTTGTTTTTTATGTTCTAATTTAGTAATTTCATAATCATATTTTCCCTTTATAGGAAGATGGAAACCGGAAGACACCATCCTCAGCAAGACACAAAAGAGGATGCAATTGCAAAAGGTCGATGTGTCTGAAAAAATATTGTGAATGCTACCAGGTCTGGAAATTTATTGCTGCCTGAATCATATGTCATGCTTTCATTTCTCTCTTTTAGTATATCCTGGCTGGACTCATGAATCTTCTTTATATATTAAAAAGGCTAATGTTGGTTGCTCTATTGGATGTCGATGTGAGGGGTGTAAAAATGTCTATGGTAAGAAGGAAGGTGAGTTTTGCAAGAAATATCATTAAGAATGTTGTCTCTCAATGCATTCTAGTCTTCGTCTCCAAAACTAGAAAATAGAGAAATATGCTCTCTCCTCCCAATATCATTTTAGGGTCTATTTTGGGCTGAAAATCAGTAACTTTTGGTAGGTAAGAATTGAGAATCAATATAATCCTTATTGCTGTACTTCCAGCTTATTTTGTGACTGAAGACATGGTGAACAGTAGTGGTGGGAAGAAATCAGAAAGCACAGTGGCGGCTAAGAAGGATTTCTTGCATTCTGAGTTGTGTGATCCACACTATCTTACACCTCTGACACCTTCATTCCAGTGCTCAGAGTAAGATTTACGACTATGATGCCCTAGTATCATTCAAGAAAAACTAAATAATTCCAATTCAACTTCTTATTTGCCAATTACTTGCTTTTTTATTCAGCCATGGAAAGAGTGCACCCATATCCAGACTTCTTTCTAGGAGATGCCTTCCATCACCTGAGTCTGATCTTGCCATCTTATCATATGAAAAATCTCCAACATCTCCAAGAACTTCTGATAGCAATGACATCCTGCTGGAAAAAAGTAAAGAAAATTTGGATGTTGGTTCTTACTGTAAAGGAATCAATTACAACAATGCAGACATGCTTACAGATGATTTCCATCACACTCCACTGCCAAATCATCCCTCAATTATTAAAGGTTCATCAACATCTAAAGCAAGGGAATTGACAAGTCTTTCACAGTTCCAACTGGGCCTTAGAAGTGGTTCTCTCACTTCAGGGTCCCTTTGTTGGCGTGGCTCACCTATTACACCAATGTCTCCTTTAGATGGGACTAACAAGCTTCAGGAGCTTGACTCTGATGGTGGACGTTATGACATTTTGGAGGATGATACACCAGAGATATTGAAAGACACTTCTACGCCCATTAAGTCTGTGAAAGCAAGTTCCCCAAATGGAAAGCGAGTTTCACCTCCTCACAATTTGCATCAGCTTGGATCAAGCTCTTCAGGACCTTTAAGAAGTGGCCATAAGTTCGTGCTAAAGCTGTGCCTTCTTTCCCACCTCTCACTCCTTGCATTGATTCAAAAGGCAGCAGTAATCAGAGTAGAATCAATTTTCAAGAAAATAGTAGCAACGATTGATCATCAAACCTGCACTTTAGAGTAAGTTTTTGCATTTTACTGGCCTTTTATTATGTGAATGTTGTAGACAAATACTGACTTATGCTAATTTTTGTGACATCATGCGGTATACTACATTAGGTATTTTTATGTTGGATTGTGGTACTTGAGCTCATAAAGTGGTAATTACCTTTTTCTAAAAAACTTAAACCTTTAAGGTTTGGCGTATCATCTTTGTAACTGAAATATCGTTTTGCCTTTTTTGGGTGGTATACAGGTACCAGAGTGGCCACAATGTGAGAGTAGCAGACATTCCCAGACAGAGAATGCTTATACCTTATGATCCGTAGTCTTCTTTTCTTTCTCTCATTTACTTTTCAGTCTTACGGTTTTTCATTTGGATGTTTCTAATGCAAGCCAAGTATGTTTCATTCCACATGAGTAGAGGAAGGACTCACCAAACATGTTACTGTTCAACCATGCGCAAATAAAATTTTATTTTATCAAAACCAATGCCCTTTTTCTTGTTTCTTTTTTATGAGATATCAAACCTAATGTTGAGTAAGTCTTTGTTGTCATTTTGAAAAACTTTATGTAAGAGTACAATACTATCATCATTATGATTTTTGCCATTGGTCGATTACAATTTTGTTATTAATTTGAGCATCATAATTTTGCCTTTGATTATGTAACCATGAAGGGGAATATACCGTGTTATTCTCATTTGTTGTGAACTATTGATTGGTGATGAAAGTGATGGATCTTCGGTTGAACCAAAATGATTTATTATTTACAGTTTTCTTCCAACGTAAAGACCGAAAAACTAAAGATTACAGCCACAATATAAACTCCATTGGCAGGGGGAAGACCCATGCTTGATTGACTTGGGTTAATGAATGTCTAAGCTATGTGTTTCTTGGATATTGGTTTCTAAAGAAGACCATGAAAGCTGGAGATAGTTTTTGTTAAACTAAACCTGACATGTCGAGGTAAAATCTTTTGTTTTCCCCCACTCGATAAAATAGTATTAGAGACAAAAATCCACTTTCCTTTACTTCCCCAAACAGCAAAAAGGCAAAGTTCAAGCATTATTGGTTGGATCCATCACTTGAGCCAAGTTTGTCTTTGATAATAATTGAATGTTACATGGCAAATGAGCAAAAAACAGTATTCAAGTACGAAAGAAATGAGTCCATCAGAATGCAGCTTTTATTATGCACTGAAAATACATCCACTGCAGGACAGCCTTGTAATTGAGCTACATAATTCAAGCAACCCAAAATTTCCTAGACTGAGATAATGGCAGTAGAACTCCCATCCACTCCAACCTAATGAACAAATTTTACTATCACCAATTCCTAGCAGCCAGGAAACCAAAATGTAACTCATAGCAAGAAAGTTTATTTAGTAAAACAAAGATTGATAGGGATACAGCTATACCATATAGTCCACACCAAACATCTATCTAGATTACCTCTTTCTAATCCTTGAATATAAGTCTGATTAAATTCATTCTTCCCTATCTCCACATTGCCATGCCAACGTTTTTTTTATAACTTATATCACAGCTGTGAACCCTGAAGACCCAACCTTGCAGTTAGCCAATTGCAGACTTCATCTGTTTCTTCAGGGATTGTATAATGACCAAGCCTACAAGGCAGTATTAAGCGGTTTTAGTTAGACTACAGAATACAGGAGTTGTTCTGAGTGTGTGTTTGCATGCATGTATGGTTCTTGAGGAAGGTGGAGCAAATTAAATACCCATTATAGGCTCTGAATGTAAGATTCCGGAAACCAACTGAATTTAAAGCCTGAGCTGATCTCTCTCCATTTTTATATGCAACCACATCATCACCTGCAGCAAGAAAAAAAAAAAAGGGAGTGAACTACATCAATAGAAAGGAAATTCTTTTACAAGTTAAAGTAGATTATGGTATCATGATAAGCCTAGATATTGAGGCAGTTAAAAAGTCTGGGGCATAGTAGATGCAAGTTAACCTCTTGCAAATGCTAACTCAGAATCTTATTTGATGTATATGCATATCTTAATGTTTTACATATTTATTTTAATTGATTTAACAAGAGAACAAGAAAAGAAAAGAGGAATATGAGACTCCAAACCTAAAATTTGATATCATCATAAGTGTGCAGTGCCTTTTTTTTTCCAAAGTGTGCTGACCTAAGATTTCCCCACTGGAAAATTTGAAAACAGTTCAGAGTAGTTGATCACAATCCCATTTCAATCATCAGACCAGTAACATACGGACTAAAAACAGTCCAAAATAAACAGAATGCAATACCCCTCCCATGCAGAGAACAGAACACCCAGCAGGTTCCATTCAGCAACCAATATAACACACGTTCATAGGACACACCTTAACCACCAAGCGATTAAACTCTTAACTCTGTCCATGCCTGCTTTAGCTAAAAAAATCTGCCAGACCATTATTCTCCCTATATATCTAATGGAAACTGATATCATGCATCAAACAAAGGCAACCAATCTGATTCAGAATGGACCACTGCCTCCAAAGTCTAGATACCAACTTATTACACCAATTTAAAGCCACCACAAAAGCATACCCAATAATCAAGTAACCAACATACTTCTCAGAGATAACAAAAACTTCTAATGCAACTTTAATAATTGAAATTTTTTATTGCAGATTAAGGACTAGACTTCCACATGAAAGATGCATTTCTATTGGCCAAATTAGTGGTGAGACATGAAAAGTGAACTGCATAATTATCTGTGTAAAAAAAAAAAAGCATGGGGCTGAATTTCACAATTTAATGTGTATGCACAATCCATGAACCCATATCTTTCCTGGACTTCTCTAAACTACTAAAATAGTGCAAAATACATCAGTGTATGACCTTATTATAACAGAAGAATGTAGCATTTTATCAAAACTCAAGATCTCTATCTATCTATGATACTTTAAATGGTTTACTTTGAAATTATAAAGTGATGACAAAAGATGGACTTGGCATTTTGCCTAAAACCTTGCTCCATGACTTAAATAGACCAAGATACATCATCGAATGACCGAATTAAACTGATTACTGAAGCATACTGTCAAAAATTCCGAAAGAGTTTGAATACCTAAGCCATGACACAGCAGAATGGGCAAGGATGCTGCACGCCTCACTGCCTCGATAGATCCTTCCATCTGGTTCCTCAAGGTCCTAAAAATAATAGCTATAGAGCTGAATGAATTGCATAAAAGCAAACTGCCAACCTAGTTGCATTTACATAAATGAGCGAAAATGAGTTTCTTTGCGCAATATCTGTGTGTACAGATTCAAACCTTGAACATGGAAGCCAACCACTTAGACCAACAACTGCACTTAAGTTAATTGGATACAGGTTTCCGTTGCCATATTTCCCTAATGTGTGGCATGTGGCAGAGTAGAGAGCAGTTGCAGCACCCATACTAAAGCCACCAATTCCGAGTTTAACTGCACATCATAAATTTCTTTTTAAGTCTTTCTAATGCAAGAGAGGCAGAACACCCCCTCACTGGCACAAAAAATAAATAAAGGAAAAAATAGAAAAAAAGAGTACCTAGGAGGTCATACAAACAGATTAAAAAAAGAAAGAGCTAGATGCATTACAGCAACCATAGAAGATAGTAAAATGAGGTGTTTTTTCTTCCTTTAAAAAATGAACATAGACATGAACCATGTCCATATAGCAGTTAAATTCGTGACTAAAGTTTTAGGATTTCAGAAGGTTGCTAAGAATAAAAAAACATACCATTAGCAGGCTCTGTTGACAACAGATTGGCAACATGTGCTGCTGAAGCATCTAACCCTTCCAAATCATCAGGACCATCTCCTGAAAGATCTCCCGCTTCAAACCCTGAAAGCATTGTGGTAATTTTAGAAAATACTTGAAATTCTTTTGGATAGTGTGCACGGTAAATTATCAAATAAAACCAGGGGGATGCACCTGTCAGCTTGATTCAGAAGAAATATAGAAACTAGCTGTTCAGAGGAATAAAATCTTACATGCAGTGCAAAGATATCCACCAAATATTGCTACTGGCCTAGTAGGAGCAGTTGGACAAATCCACTTAATCTGCAATATTGAATTTAAATAGAAACATAAGATAAGTTGTCTATTAAATGAAATGGTCTAGTCAATGGCAATTAGGGCAACCATTAAGCACATTGCATTTGCATGTATAAAAGCCACAGAGTAATTTGAAAAGATTGCTTTCCTTACATTTGGAAGGGGAAGGGTTTCGAAGAGCTGAGACCAGCTGCAGAACAAAAACAAAGAGGGAGATATCCATCTTAGCAACCATTAGGTACCCTCAAAAAAGTTAGAACTCTTTAACATTCTGAAACAAAACACCAAAACCCACATTCAGAGAAGTTGCCAGCATAATTGTATATTTTAAGAATCTCCCATTGTAACCAGGCTAGTTCGGGACCACAGTCAAAGTTGAGCAAAAGCCCTATCAATAATGGTAGGATCCATGCTAGATGACAACAGATACATCTCAGCATAAATTGCTCTTACTATATTTTAGGAAAACGAAAGCTGATTACTTGCTCATTAATATTATTATTATCTTTAAACAATGATAGACTTTGGTCTGACAAATGGAAAGGACAATCAAGGAGTTAAGAAGTGGTCCCCTATTCTAAGGCCTAAGCCCTGGCATATACAGTTTTCAGATTCCAGTTTGTCCCAATATAGTTTAGGATCCTTAGAATGAATGCACATAAACAACTAATCCTGTTTATTACAGTTTAGAACCGCATGGGTCTCTCCCATCAAATCAATTATTATGGGAATCTTCTGGAGAGGGGCATAGAGTTCAAGTTATAAAACTAGAAATTTCTCTTCCAAAACAGGACAAAATATTGGCATCCTGTGTCTCTTTTGCTTTTGCTTTCTAGGAAGAAAACAAGTTCATTATTCTCACACAACGCATATACCTAGGATCAGGGGAAGGAATTAAATTTCACCATATGGCACAGATAAAAACGGGAAAAAATATGTAGTTAACACAACAATGTAGTTGATAATTGATGGTTCAAACTCTTAATCATGCAAATTGTTGCTCCATGCATGTCCCAAAAGGGGAAAAAAAAGGAGACCAAGCATTTTCCAACTTGATATGAAACCATCAACAAATAGTTTTATCTTAAAACTATGATCAAAGAAATGCTAATGCCGGCAAGGGCAAACATCAGTAAAGTCTAACATTTATACCTTGAGCCCTTGTCACCAAGACCATGCAGCCAAACTATTGTAGCCTGGTGGTTCCCTCTGGGCCTGACCACATGGGTCCTCCCAAACTCAAATGTTCTAGTAGTTCCACTGCCTGGAAACATTGCAACTACAAAGCTAACAACTGAAGATTTAGAATGCAAAGGAAAAATCAAGAATCACTACATAAAAAAAGCCTGACCTGAGCTCCTAGTAGAATTATTCATTGTAGCTATTTTTCCAGCAGGAGGACTATACTGTTGCAGAATGCTTGTAGCCTAGATTGAATAGCTGCAATGAAAATAAGCAAGAAGTGACCATCTATATTTATAACCATAGTGAAGGGTGGAAATGGAAAACAACCCATCAATTTAAATCATCTACTAATCTTGCTTACACCGTTTACACTACCTGAAAGGCGTTTCAAAAACTACTATATCAGAAAGTGAAAGGCACCCAAGAAAGGTTGAGAGAGAGAGAGAGAGAGAGATAATGAAAGGGACAAATAAAAGCAGAAGCTCTTTATGAGCAAAAGAATCCACAAACAGATGAAAGAAAATGAATGAACAGAGAGCCTTTGAGATTACAAATTTGCAATGTAAAGACAGAAAAGAGAATCCAATACTTATGGACAGTGGGCAGCAAAGCAAAGCACTTGAAAACATAACAACTTCAGAACATATGACCACACAAATAAAATAGACAAAAATAAGAGATGGCTAATTTATAAAAAAAAAACATAAAATAAAATCAAGAAATGTATCTCCATAGGTACCGATGAAAAATGTTTACTTGTTGAATGCATTGAAAAGATCTAATGAAAATGGAACTAATGAGATAAGAAGAAAAGTGGGGTTTAAGCTTTGAAGCTTTATCTATGGAACCAACCTGGTGTGGAACAAACAAGACCCAAAAGCATAAAATCTTTTATTTTCTCTTTCTTTGTTCTCCTTCTCTTTTCTCAGTCTCAACTTTCCTTTTGTTTTTGTTTGTTCATGTTACAATCTTCAAGCAGGCAGGCAGGCAGGCTGGCTGGCACATAGAGAAGCCCTGGGACAGCTCCAAAAACCTGGTCATCTTCTTAGAATCTACTATGTAAAGACTGAAACACCCTTCCAATGTTTGCCTTTTTTAATGTACAATGTATAGTATATTTATGCACATGAAAATGGCAAAATGGGTATTGTGTCTTCTATATTCACTAAAAATAAAAGAAGAAAAGAGGATATATGCTATTAAATTAGTTGTAAGTAGTAAACATTAATTATGTGAATTGTTCAAAAATGAATTTGGGTAGTGTTTATTATTGAAGTTGAAGGAAGAATATTGGATAAAGTGTTGGACCAAAATGATATTGCATTCACAAGTAAACTGAATTTGACTTGTCAAATTAAAGTTTAAAAGAATAATATATGAATTAAAGAATTTATATGTGTACTATATATTTTAACTAACTTTAAATAACAATTCAAGTTTTTAATAGGTAGTGGAAGAATTTTTTTTTTCCATTTTTTGTTTAATAATAGAGAAATAAGAAGAAAGGAAAAAGAATGAATTAATTGTACTTTTTCCTTTTTTAAATCCAATTATTTCAAATATGAGAAAACTAATTTATTCAACTTAAATTAATAATTTTATTTACAATTTTACCTTTAATTTTTTTTCTCTATTTTTTATTTTTTTGTATAAAACACAATAAAAAAAATAATTTTCTTTCCCCTCATTTCATTTTTCCCTCACCCTTTTTCTCTCCTTTCCTTTCTACCACGGGTTAAAAGTCATAGAATGGGCAAAGGGCATACAAACCAAGGGTAAAGGATTGTTGGCCTTATATGTATTCCAAATGTCAAAGAACAAAAGTCATTTACGGTCATTTTTCAAACACGTGCCAATATCTCTCAAAGGATTTGATTTGATTTTTTTTTATTTACTTTTGTAATTACTGTATCCATCGTTCATATTCCTATGGTACTGCAACTGGCAGGACCACATAGATCTGAAGTGTAGAATTTTTTATGCCATCGTCCTCACGTCACAACCCACAAGTGGAAGTGGCATACACATGATCTCTCTGAGTGGAGAAGGATATCCAATATGCGATCGCGTGGAGCAACACTACTTCTTAATTAATTCTTTTTCATATGTTTAATTTGATTTATACTCATATTTTGTATACAAAATACATTAATGCATTCTACATGCATATATGTTTGCATATGATATTCATTTGCATGCATGGTATTATACTCATATTGAACACCTGATCTTTGTAAGAACCCAAATTCTGTAGGATCATTTTTTTCTAGAACAAAACCGGTGGCTCAATCTAAAAATGTTATTCATATTATAACTGGTTGTTCACATAATTATGATAACTATAACTATATATAAAGTTATATATATAATCCAAACTCTGCAGGATGATTTTTTTTTTTTTTTTGTGGATAAAATCGCAGTGCTGTTGTCGTGTTGATAAATGCTTCTGTTTCTTGTTGATAAATGACCATAGAAAATGTTCTGAAACAATGAATGCAATGCAGTTTCTTTCACCTCTTTTTCTAGGGTTGGCTAGCTGCCATGAATAATTTCATGTTTGGAGCTTTTTTTTTTTTTTTTCCCATGACCATGACAGAAAACAAATCATTTTCATTGAGGTCAGTTCATGCCAGGCATGGTTGCTTTAGAGAAGCAAATTTCAAGCTGTTTTCTCTCCTGATAAAAGAATACACACACAATATGAAGGAATATCAAAATTCAATACGCAATTAATTTAAATTAAATTAAACTTCACAAACATGAAATCATATTATTAGTTTGAAAAATACTATTACTCTATCACTTTTGTCCCAAAATTTTTGTATTTTGTAACATGACATATAATTATAATTAGTGTAATTATAATATAATATTTACGAATTAATTTATTTATCAATAAATCATTAAATTCCACCTTAATTTAGACAATAATTACATGTCATATTCAAAAATATAAAAATCTGAGATAAAATTGATGGATTAAGTTGTCAACTCTTTCCTTAAAACCCCACTATCCATAAAGAGAGAATCAGAGTTTGCGTACTTGAAAATTCCTCAGGCAACAAAGCCTTTGGAATAATATCATACAAAGATATTGTTTTCTCATTGCTTTACTGTTTGTTAGATTTATGTAGATGCTACAACTTAATTTACTACAAAGTTTTCAAGCACACCACAATTGATTACTGCCTAAATAAATGCTTCAAAATTTGAGAAAAGACTAAAAGTTTATCTTTAATTTGTTATTAATTTAGAGTGTGGGGCATTTTTCAATTGTTTCAAAGTAATATATTGGTGTGCCAGATTATGCCAAATTATTATTATAGAAATCAGGGGGATGTGCTTGTAAATGAAGTTTCATTTGACATTTGAGAATTTTGGTACCAATAATTCAGGCATACATTTATTTTAGATAGATTTCTGGCAAATTGTTTATGTGGGGCTTCATGATTAAAGGAAAAATTAGTGCACAAATTGGAATGATTAATCAATTGTTGCTTAATGTAGCATTGATCTTTCAAATTTTATTAATTTTTTTGGGAGTTGTGGTGAGTTTAAACCGTTAGTTTAAAAGAATCAAAACAGTCTTTTTCTTTGTTTTGGGGAAGGAAGAATCAAATATAGCTGTCTCTGTAGAAATTATCTTTCTCAATGCATATATATATTTGATATTTCTCATCTCAAATTCTCAATCACTTTCAACATTTGAAAACGGCTCTTTGATTCCCAAAAGTTTTTGTCTCATCTTCACCGAATTTTGATTCCTTCATTTGTGAGCACTAAAAAAATGTTCATTGTCTACTTTGTCATTCCTGATTGGTGCCCAATTTGGAAAGGAATTGCATAAAGTGGGTGTCACAAAAGGGTTTTTTTTTTTTTTTTAAATGGTGGATAAACAAAAATTAGTTCTGGAAAAGCCGATCAGAGATAAAAAACCTAAATGACGAAAAACCAACCTGTTTCAACTTTGATTAACCCGAATTAATGGATCTTAAGTTCTAAATCACCAATCCAAAATCAGACATAAGTCATCAAATCTGTTCTTTTTTTTTTTTTAATAAAAAGTCATAATTTAAAAATAGATAAAGAAGTTATAGATACTAAATTTGAATACAAAATTTATTGAATGCTATTTTAAAATATATGATTATATGAACCAACTAAACTAAATTTTAAATTTTAATTATCACTTTTTCATTTACTTAGATTACCATATATCTTATTGAACCAAAAAAGCACATGTAATTTGTAGACATGGCTCATTACCAAAAGAGAATCAACTTTATTTTCATGATTTCTAACTTCTAATTGGTCTCTCTACCATCAATTTAAAGATCAAGAGTTCGGACTTTAACTCAATTGATTTATGCAATCGTATTTAGGGATGACATATAATAGATTTGGAATTCAAATCTTAGTATTCATGACTATTCCCTATCTCCAAACTATGGTTCCTTTGAAAAAAAATATTTGAGCACCAAAATTATGCATATACCAAGATAATGAAACCTTGCAAATTTAGATTTGGTGCTGGGATAGTTGTACTAGGGTATGAAATTCATCTATCACCAAATTAGTATGCTACAGGGAAATTTTTGTTTAGGCAAACATATCTGGATAAAGAAATAAAATTTGTCTGTGATTTCCTACATTAATGAGAATCCAGGCAAAAGCCCTAGAAAGATCACAAAAATTATGTCTTAATCAACTAATGTGCTATTAGAGAAACATGTGGTTTCAGTCACTGTAGGAATCCAAATTAGCCTCCATCAATTTCTTCAGTAACTGAGCAGCCTTCTCTCGAGCTCTTGCGGATCCTCTGACTGAAATATCAGCTAGCACAGTTAAGAAGTCCGGAAGCCTCAAAGCATCTTGCAGGCAGCCCTCGCTTCGTCGAAAAGGCGAAGAAGAATTTCAGCCGCTCCTTCCTTACTCAACATGCACTTCGCTTCTAATACATCTACCATTGAACTAAGAACCTGATCAGTCTTTTTCAAAGCATTTAATCCTTCATCAAACCTAGCTAGAAGGCCCAGAACAGCTAGTGAGTTTCCAGCAAGATCTTCACCCTTAGTGCTTGTTACCACTTGGATCAACTTCGGGACAGCTCCTGTCCGGAGAGCTAAGGTACAGTTCCAATGGAATTGCACAAGCTCAGCTTAAGAACTAAGCAGGTGATGAGCAGCGGACTACGCGGTTCTGAAACTGCGTTGACCAACAAAGGGATGGTACCAGCCACCCCAAACTTGGTCTTGTTCTTGTCTAGCATGGCCAGGCTACAAATGAGTGAAGAAGCCAACTTGCTGGACTTAGGAGAGCTTGGGGAGAGAATAATAGAGTTGAGATGATAGATGGTTTCCATATCTGCAAGAGACGGCTAAAGATCAGGATTCAAAGAGAGTTTAAAGAGTGTAGACAATGAGAGAGTTTGGATAATGGAAGAGGAAGATTTGGAGAGGATAAGAAGGACAGGAACGACTCCATCAGTTTGTGGTAGCAAGGTCCTATTCTGTAGACTGACTTTGGTAATGGAAGCCAGAGTTTGTAGAGCTTTCTGCTGAACTTCATGAGAATCTGATTGTGCTTCAGACAGACATTCAACAATGGCGTCACGAAGCCTAACTGTTGACATGGTTCAAATTAAGTGCTAAAATGTAATCAATGTCAATTTTCGTAAGACCAAGCGAGTAAAACTAGCATGCTTAACAGGCTATGTATTAGCTGAAAGTCAAGATGTTGCGGAAGTCAGGACAAGATGTTGATTGATGCAATGCCGAACAACATTGGAAAAACCTTTACTCTTTGGATTATTATTCATTTGCCTATGTCTGGAAGTTCAGGAGCATTGTTTCGGTAGTTGCATAGTTCAGATATTTTCTTCCTTTTTTTTTTTTTTTCAATTTTCTCTGTTTATTTTCTTTTCTTTTATATGAATACAAATTAAAACAACTAGTTTTTCTTTTCTTTTTTTTTCTCTTTTCTCCAAAATGATTAGGGATTCCTTTGCCCAAATATATATGCATTTTTTTTTGTTAAAATAAATTTGTAAAAAACATAATATACAAGTTAGCCATATTTTTTTGGTTAAAAATAAAATAAAATATATCTTTTATTATATGAAATTAAAATTATATCATTAAATCATATAAATGTCCTATTTAAATAAATCGGCGAAGTGCGAGTCCCATTAGAAGCTTTGGGGTCGTGATAATTAAGGGCAAAACCCTCTTTATCAATCATCCTTGCTCTTATTTAAGATCAATCATCCTTGCTCTTATTTAAGAAATAAACCATGAGTAAATTTATAGAAACAAAGTAATTCAAAGAAGAACAAACATGTTTTTTGAGGTCACCTTGAACCAGATAAATACCAAAAGAGCAGCGTCCAATGAAACCCACCGTCTGCATTCTGCAAATGTCAACTGTCGACTAACATTTAAAAAACACATGTTTTATTCAGCAAAAAGCAAAAATCCATTACTAAATAATGGAATTTTTTACATGTACATCATTTAAATTAATAATAAATTACTATTATTATTAAACAAGAAATTTTGATTTCTTTTGGCCATTAACAATAAATATTGATTAGATTTGTTCTGGAAGTAAATAAGACAAAAAAAGCAACATACACTGCAATTTAGTAAAGAACTAGTTTCCGATCATCATTTGCAGGAAAAATTTCTGATACATTAAACGCATCCATAGCATATAAATTGCCTGACTCCAACTACAGAAGATTCTTAGGATACTGCACTAACAAAGTAAATAGATTCCTACCCCTAATATAATAATCAGCGCACTATTCATTATTTATATAAATAATATCCTAAAAGCAGGCCAAGAACAACCTGAATGAAAATACTAAAATCAGATATTTAATTACTAACCACAACTTCAGGCAACAACAAACTAGAAACAATTTGGTAAAACTGCAGAGTCCACTGCATCTTAGAGAAGACGGGCTCATCAAAGACTAATACCAAAATCTCCCCAAAATTTCACCTAATTCACCTTCCCGAGTCCGGTGAACCATCGTCGTAAGAGACCAGCCCTCTTTCCTCATTTGGACTTCCAGAAGATGACCTTGACCTTGATTTGCTTGCCTTCTTTGGAGACTGAGAGTCCAATGAGGACCTTGATTGTGATCGGCTCCTGCTCTGAGAAGGGGACCTTCGCCTCCCTGTCCTTGGAGAGGCTAGAGATCTGGACGCATCAACTGGAGAGCGGCTGTGAACAGGGGTTTGACTGCGACTAGGGCTAATGCTGTGGCTACGACTGTATCGACGATTTCGGTACCGAGGACTAGGTGATATGGATGGACTTCGTGTCCGGCTTCTTCTGCCTCTATACCTGCACAGCAGACTTTTACTAGGAATCGAGTAACAAAAATCAAACCACCCAATGAACAGAGTTACAAGGAAAAGGTTTTCTTTGTTAAATGCACACACACGGGGAAAAAATAAGTGGTAATAAGTGAATCATTAATGAAAAAACCAGAGTTAATTGGCATATGGCATATCAGACCTTGGAGGAGTTCTTCCTCTTGGTGGGCTTCTATAACGCCTAGGTGAATACCTCCTGTAACTTGAATACCTAGAATAAAATTAAAAGCAAAACCACATATGGTTAAAATATAATATGGTTTTGGAAAAAAAAAAAACGCTTAGGGTAAGACAACTTAAAAGAACCTGGTGGAATGTGTACCTGTCATGATCAATTCTGCCACCATAACGATTGGACCTCACAGGAGAACGATCTGGAGCGGGGGTTCTGTATTGCCGTGCATAGGAGTAATGCTCACTGAAGCCTCGGCCCCTTCTGATGCGCTTAATTGATCCATCAGGGGAAATGCTTCTCGATAAACTTCTACCTCGATCAGGAGGAGGCGACCTTACCCTTCTCACAGTGATGGGGCTCCTTGAATAACTACGACGATACTTCCTACTTGGTGGTTGCCTTAATGGACTTCTGCTGATGCTTCTCTTAGGAGGAGCCCTACCAGAGCTCCTACTTATACTTCTCTGAGAAGATCTTACAGGACTTCTACTAATGCTTCTCTGAGAAGATCTTACAGGACTTCTGCTAATGCTTCTCCGAGATCTTGCAGGACTTCTACTTATGCTTCTTTTTGAAAGTCTAACAGGGCTTCTGCTAATTGATTTTCTGGTTGGTCTGGGTGGGCTCCTACTTGGGCTTCTTCGGGACTGGGATCTTATAGGGCTCCTGCTAATGCTTTTTTGAGAATGTGTTCTAACCGGGCTCCTACAGATGCTTCTACTCTTTCTCCCCCTCAAAGGGCTTCTGCTGATGCTTCTAGAAGGGCTTCTGCTCCTACTTCTAACAGGGCTCCTGCTTCCATTTCTTTCAGCAAAATGTGGGGGACTGCTACTCACACGTGGACTCTTGCTCACACTAGGCCTTGGGCTGAGACTTGGGCTCCGGCTTGTACTCCTCCTGGGACTAATACTAATACTCTTACTCATAGTCCTCTTAGGACTCATGCTTCGGCTCCTGCTCATCAACTTTTAATAAAATACTGGATTGGGAAGGATTGGCAAGTATAAAGAATAACTAAGTGAGAAGAATGGAAAGTAGACCTAGATTTGCTTGGGTGATCATCTACCACATCAGGTTGTCTCTTTGCACTTCCGTCAGATTTAGCATCTTCTTCAATGCCATTGCTCTGTTGCTCTCCATTTTCCTTGAGAGCTTCATGCTCCTTTACAAACAAATCAGCATTCTCCCTTTGACTGTGACAAATTTCTTTCTCTACAGCTGAAAGGGATTGACTCCCAACTGCACAATTTAGACAACCCATCAATACAGTGTTGTAACATATCAAAATCCTTAAATAACACAAACAAATTTTCAAAATCAGAAGGCGATGGGGGTGAGGGAGAGAGAATAATGTAGAATGAAGGGTATATCATTCAGCCATGTCAAATATCCATAAGAAAGCTGTTATCCTGTTTGAAAGATGCATGTGAAGTAATAGCATTATCAAGGCAAAAAGAAAAAGAACAATGTAGAATGAAGGGTATTCAAGGCCATGTGAAATTATCCTGGAAAGCCAGTCAAAATGTAGGGAAAGCACCCCAAGAACAAAGAAAACAGTCAAATCTCAGGCAAGGGGGAAAAGATATTACAGATGCCCATTTCAAATTCAACTAAAACCAAAATATCAACCTCAATAATAGTACAGTTAAAAAAAACCATATCTAACCAGTGCAATCAGATTTTAAGATACAGAGGATAAGCAGTAAAACAGAATATTGCCAGGCGACAGATGAAAGAGGATACCACTTTTCTGATAAAGGTCTTTATGCTTCTGCGCTTTTCCTTGCACATCAACATCATTATCAGTGCTGCTTTCACTTTTACTCTCACTGTCATCATCTGTATGACTATCCAAAGCCCTGGTAACAAAGAGGATAGAATAATTTAAGTAAGTTCTATAAGAAATTTAACAAAGCTAATCAGCTCATCCATGACTTTGAAGCATTATATCACAATTTTGTCTCACATAGATTGAAAAAGGCATCAGAGAAAACCAAACGAGATGGATTAACAAAACTGATAGGTGTTGACTATTAGAAGGGGGAGAAAACCATGATTCTTCCTCAACAAATCTTCACTAAGTACGTGGAGAAACACAAATGTAGCCACTTCAACAAGGACATTGTGACCAACTGAATTTCAATGCATGTTAAGCATTCATTTACACATGCAACTCATATTATGACTGAAGAAAATCCAATCCTAGACATTTATTTTAGTAATTTTCCAAAATGCAGGTTTTGTCAACAACCATTAGTATTCAGATAACAATAATAATTAATAAGAAAGGATAGAAATAAGAAAACATTCTTATTTATTGCATGGGAGGCAAAGGAAACAGTATAAGGAGCAAACAAATTTCAGAGAAAACCAAACAAAATGGATTAACAAAACTAATAGGTGTAGACTATTAGAAGGGGAAAAAACCATGATACTTCCTCAACAAATCTTCACTAAGTACGTGGAGAAACACAAATGGAGCTACTTCAACGAGGACATTGTCACCAATTGAATTTCACATGTTAAGCATTCATTTACATGCGCAACTCATATTATGACCGAAGAAAATCCAATCCCAGACAATTATTTTAGTAATTTTCCAAGATGCAGGTTTTGTTTCTCAACAACCAACCATTAATATTCAAATAACAATAATAATTAAAATAAAAGGATAGAAATAAGAAAACATTCTTATGTATTGTATGGGAGGCAAAGAAAACAGTATCAGGAGCAAACAAGTTTCAACTTCATCTCCAAAAGATTGGAGCCCTCATATGCATAGCTGAACAAGCACAATTCTCAGCAAAACATGCACAGGACTCAAGTTCATTAACTGGTAATTTTCCAGAAGACAAGACAATGGTATGAAGGATAAATGGATAAGCATAAAACCTTCTTGATCTATGCTTTGATCTCTTATCACGCCTTTTTCTCTTTTTTTCACGTCGTCTATCTCTTCTTTTTCCACGCCTATATTTTTCTCGTTTAGAAGATCTCTTCCTCTTTTTGCTCCTGTCATCACTTGAAGAACTAATGTCAGAGGATGATGACAGATAAGAGTCAGAATCACTATCAGATTCAGATGATTCTGTTTCAGAATCTGAGGAACTCTCTGAATCAGATGAATAATGTCTTCTTCTCTTCTTCCTTTTGTCTCTGGAAAACTTCTTATGCTTCCCCTTTCGTCGCACTTCATGACTGTTAGCATCAGAAGAAGCATCTTTTCCTGTTTTCAACTTAATTTTCCTTTTCTCTGCAGATAAGATAACATATTGGGAGCAAGATAAGAAAGCGACAAGGTCAAGCCTCATGCAGCATCATAAAGGTGAAAATTGTTAGTTGTAGCCTAAATTAAACCATGATATTCCATCTTAAGAAATGTAAACCACCAATGAGAACACATAGACCTTACCAACTTCACCACAATTAATTATTTTCACTGTTACAGTTGGTAATCCCTTCTCATCACCCACATTTTCAATTTTCTTCAGCACTTCATTTCCTAGCACAAGCTTCCCAAAAACTACACACTTTCTGTCACACGCCACAAACCAAGTCTGAGTCACATTTAAAATGAGCATATATATAAACATATATATTTGGGGGAGGACGAAAAAAATACAAATATACAAATATACAAAGAAGATAAAAAAACTACCCGTCAAGATGGTGATTAGCCTTGAAGGTGATAATGAATTGAGAACCTACATTGTCACGATCAGCAATTGCCATAGATAAAAGACCAGGTCCTTCATGCTTTAGCCTAGGTGATTCATCTGAACAAAAGTTCAAATTACCCTTGTTGCTAATCAATTGTTAGTGAAAAGAATAGTAACATTCAGCCAACTTCTAGATGAATAGTTTGCAGAACAGAAAAAATCAAAACCTTTTAGCATTTAATGCAGTCCTTCAAATGATTTAGCCATTGTGTCATTATGCTGGCACCTAATGGTTCTCAAGGAGCAAATCAGATGATTGAGATAAAATGCTACAGAACTCACATTGCTAGTGCAAATAAATCTTGTGAAGATATTATGGGAATGCATATTACTCTCAACCAAAAAAAAAAGAACCTTTCTACGTGAAGATAGGCTCAAATCAAGAGCCATGGAAAGTACCTAAGCGATGCAATCATAATCCAAAACAAAATTTGTCTGAAGATAAGGAGAACACATACTGCTCTCTCAGAAAACATTTCAAGTGCAGATATGCCCAAATCTAGAGCCCAGAAAGTACTTACTTGATACAATCTTCTTCCTAGTGCAAAGAACCTTAACACCATACTTTAATTAACTTCAAAAAACATTGACACATTCCATTCATAGCAACACAATTATAAACCAAAAATAAAGATTTGGGATTTTGACCACCTTGGAAGAGTATAAAACTACATTCGTTGAACAAATATGTATTGGTAGCATAATTATAAATTGAATTGAAAATAATCATTGGAGATTTTGACTGCTTATGGAGAGTACAAGGCTATATACATAAGCATGTCTGAGCACTTATGGAGTGTACAAGGCTACATGCATAAGCATGTCTGAGCACTTTCATCACATACACGATTATAATGTAGTTAAAATTAAATTAAATTTACATGAACACACAGCAATTACAAACAACAAAAGCATGAGAATAACATAAATGATACTAGATTCAAATCATTTTGAGGAAATTATTGAATTTTAAAATACTGAACAAAAAGAAAACCTTGCATCTTTACTTCTAGCTTTTATTACAAACTAAATTCTGATTGTAACCTTAGAAGTTTGGAAAGAGACCACTCACCTGGAAACTTCCCCTCATATATGCTTTCCCCACTAGTTCCTGGTAAAAGAAAGAAATACATTTAAAAACTCAGATGTGGATTTCGAGAGCAACTTCAACCAGCAGTCACATAGAGGGCAACCCTCAAAGTAATCTTATGTCTTGTACAAGTCAACTAACAGTAACAAAAATAAATAAATAAAAATGCCTCAGAAGGAAATCGTACCATCCCTTCTCACGAAATCACCACCCTGCACAACACATATAAGATGTTAGTCCACAAGTAAGAAAAAAGACATTTACACGCAAAACACTGTGTTGGACACGGCAAGGTTTAGTAAAAATTTTGAGGATTGACAACTTGATAAGTACAACCTTAAAACAAAATCACAAGAAAAGCAGTCGTGACCATCAGCCCTGTTTCATACAGCATAAACAATAGTAACTGACCAAAAGACATACAACTTCTAAGCCAAGTTCAACAAGAAAACAGATAGAGAAAAATCCCAGTTTAAAGATCAAACAACAAACCTGGGCCATGGAACCTTTAATGACACGATGGAAAAAGGAACCTTTGTAGTGCAACAGTTTTCCAGTTTTAGGACCAATGCCCTTTTCCCCTGTAGGTCGAGACAGACTTAAGAAATCAGGAAAAGACAAACATATAAATATATGCATTAATGTGTGTACATATGTGCACATAAACTAAACAATTAGAACTCAGAAACTCTCTTGCGCTTAACCACCAAATACTTCTTCAAAAAGAAAAAAAAAAGACAAATCATAAACAACAAAACTTACGAGGAATTATTCTTAAGATAATAAATTTGCCAGAGTGAAAACCTATATGTAAATTTTTATAAAAGAAAAACATAATAAAATAGGGACTAGAAATATTGGAACAGGTTTTATTTAATCACCTGTACAAAGGGCCCGAAAATTTTCTGCAGTCTTGGGAGCAATATCGGGAAAGAGCTGAAGAATCAAAGAAAACTGATAAATACACACAAAAAGATAATCTGAAAGAAAACCCAATGTATGGTAATTCAAAACAAAAACAAAGTGGTGAACAACAATATAAAAAATGTGAACTCTTGTTGGCCAGCTTATGTCGTTCATTACAATACCTCAAAAATCATCCTTTCAACAGGATCACCATCGATCGACACGTCCATAAAAACTAAAGGATTCTTCTTTGCCATCTTGGCTCAACAGAATCACAACTCAAGCCAGCACAACCAAAAATCTTATCAAACAAAGAGACACCAGAATCAGTAGATTAAAATGGATTTTAGCTCATACTAATTAAATCACATGACAGTAATAAAAAACAACCTACACCTACTCCATCATTAAAGCATTCCCAAAAACACCAGTCTTCATTAAAGCATGTGGTAAAGCAGAATGGAATTATTTTTTCTAAATAAATAATTTCTCTCACTTCAATCTATTGTTTTTAAAAGATTAGTCAAAAAATCATGATTTTGCAAAAAATGGAATGTATCAAAATTAATTTTAGCATATACAGTATTTGGCAAGATTGGGCAAAAGCAAAGGTATCTAGGATACTTGGCAAATATTCCCTTTGTCCTATTTCAGCCTTGTGCAAAGCATCCTAGCATTTCCAAACATACTGATTGCATAAAGCAAGAAAACATGAAGAAAACCAGGTTCAAAGATCTAAAAAAGGGAACCCAAGTCCAAGCCATAAAAGCAAATGCATAACTAATCGAGCCAAAGATTGCATTGGATAAGAATCCCAGACCAGCAAAGAAAAGCACAGCACATTACAAACACCCTTTGGAGCGAGAATGCAAACACACGCAATCCAAAGAAAGTGACAGTGATCAACTTAAATATCATAACAAAATCACGCTGAAATCCTTAAACCCTAGCTGAACTAGCAGAAATATTTACACTACAAGCTTATATTAAACTCAATCTTAACCTAAATCTTGAAAACCAGGAAAACATATGAAAACTGAATACGCATAATAAACAAATTAAAGTGAAGAAAGCTAAAAAGATATGTACCAGCAAATTAAAGACAAAAATAATTACACAGGTTTTGGATCAGATACAGGTGTAGTAATATTGAGCTTAAAAAGAGAAATAGAAAAAGGATATTTGAAGGTGGGAAAAGGGAAATAGTGAAAGAGAAAGTGAGAAAGGCATAAGAAACCCTAGAAAGTTCACCTGAGAAATGAAGAGCCACAGAAAAATGTGAGTGACGATTATCAGAGAGAAAAAGAGAATGTCATTGTGTTTGAGGTGAAAACATGAAAACCTAGTTGGCTTTTCTGCTTGTAAAAAGGGCTGCGAAGTTACTGGACTGTCCTGACTCCTGACTTTGAGTTCTCCTAAGGCCTCATTGGCTCATCCCTTCGGCCTCGTTTTTTTTGTAGAACCCAGCCAGCTGACTGTATCGCTGGTGCCCGTTTTACAATGGGCTCACGTGGGGGATGCACCTTGAGACCAGGCGGGTCATATATCAACCCAAGACCAAGGTGAGCAAGGGGCATTTTTTTTGTGTTTTCAAGTTTTTGGCACATTTCTTTTGGAAATCATATCTATATATAAATGCTTCATTTGGATTACCTGCCATCGAAATGAAGCACAAAACGAATTCACTGATAAAAATAACGTGACGATCAGATGGAAATTTGTTCCTGCCAACTATCCAAATAAAATACAAAATCGAGGGTTCGTAATTGACATCCTTAATTCAATTCTATTTTTATTTCTAAAAATCTTACCTTAAATTTTAATTTGAATAATAGCAACTCATCTTTTCAATCAAATTTATAAATACAATTATAGAAGGAAAGAGAGACAGGGAAACTTTTGAACTTTGAGCATCAAGTGAATGTTTTGGTTCCATTTGATGGTTTACCATACTAGGATTAGCTGATGAATCAATCGAGAAAGCTGACCAAATATGCCAGTAGAACGACAAGTTTACATGGTTTATTAATTTTTCTTGTAAATCTCCTTTTCTAGTTCTATCATCTCGATCCAGTTGGCTGCCATGTACAAAAACTCACAAATGAAAACTTTCAAGGCAGTTAACGAAACATTAACAGTTTTTCTCCTGATAAAATGCCATTTCAAGACAAACAAAAGCAAAGAAATGAGGTTTTTGGAATTCCATCAACGGAAAAACACTTCAGCTGATTGAGTGTTCAGTATAAAAGAATATGAGAAATAAAAACTTTTCACTCAAGAGAATGGAATTTCAAATTATTTGAGCTTAGATTTGGAAGAGCTCTGAAGAGGCTTTGCAATTGGTCGTGCAGGGGCACTTCTCATAACTTTCTTCACATCATACTTGATAGATGACAAGGCACAAACTGGTGCAATCAACATTGTTGGGTATACGTACACTGCTTTTGTAGGATCAGAATTTGTTGGCTTTCCCAAGATCCCTTCCTTGACAAGACCCCAGATTACCAGTAGCGTCCCAAGCATGCTCATCCTTCCAGGTTTTAGAGGGCCCCCAAGTGCTCCTGCCACACAGAAGTAGCTGCCAGCTAGAACCTGTACGACAACCAGATAAGGGAGATGAGATTACAAGACAATCAGATTTTTTACAAGATTGGGTTTATCAAAGGACACAAATTTGGAAGACTACTTGAAACTAAACCCTTGTGCAGAAGATTCAAGGATGGTGAAGAGTACAATCGTATTTTTGACAAGATTGGGCTTATCAAAGGACACAAATTTGGATGACAACGCTTGTGAAGAAGTTGTAAGGATGTTGAAGAGTGTCATGGAAACGGCCGGCAGTCCATTGTCGGGTGTCCATTTTATTTTCTCTTTGGATGACAAATTGGTGGCAAATATATTAGGGAAAGAAAACAGTTAAAATGACTCTGTAAGATGGGTTCTGAGAACAACTCAACATATATGACTTTTTGCACTGTCATGCATTCAGAAGTTAATTCTACTAGGAAGGCGATAAAGGAAGAGTTACATTCTTGCTGAACATGGTAGATTTTTCATTAATCCAGCCTGTGACAACACAAAATTTCAGTCAGTAGACCGTGTTTTTATTTTGCCACTAAAGACGGATGGACTGAGGTGTTTGGTTTTGCAAATAATTTATGTAGGGACGAGTAAGACTATGTATATGCATCGCTACAGGCCTTACCACTAACAGAACAATGGATTTCTTCATATTAATACTGAAAATGCATAATGTGCTAAAAATTAGAAAGATAAAAGAGAAAGATAAGAACCTTTAATAGCTGGAGGTCAGGTACTGCAGAGGCTTCCTTTATTCTAGTTAAGTTATTGATGTTTGACAGGTTGTCCCAGCTTGGAACAGTCATGTTCTTGACAAGGCCATTTGCAATGGCTCCAGGAAAGAGGAGTGCCTTCACCACAGGTACAGGAAAGATGTCACTTGCTATCAACTAAGAAGATGTGACATGAATTGGAGTTGAACACATTCCAGATCTACATGGAATCCTGCCAAAAGAGAAAAGATGAGAAAGAAGCCCCATTCTGGAATCAGATTCCAGTCTAGTTTACTCATCTCTATATTTCTCAATCAACAAGACCATGGACAAAGAAAAAAGGAATGCCTACATTTATTTCCATTAATATTTCCAACAATGATGAATGAACAAAAGCGCATATATCCAACAAAGGCAACTAAACTAAAGCAAGCAACTTACTGTTGTGATGCTAGTTCCAAGGCATCCTTCTGAGGGGAATCCATTGAAAGAGAACTTAACAAAATATCATTTAGCACTCAGCTGTTTAAACTGCATGATTTACGTTCTATAGCAAACATTTTAACTTTCAAGAATGAATAGACTGGCATCTTTTCAGTTTTTATAAACTACAGTGTGTTTCTTTTCTATTGGAAAAACTGCAGGGTAATTTGACTGCCATTATATTTAAAACTTCATTAGGTCAAACCACTAAAAGAAGCTTATTAATCAATCTCATATCTTACGAACTGTTGTATAATGTTTCACTCCAAGAAAATACAGTTCTGATACAGAGCT